TTCTGAAAAGTACTTCGAAGTTAACATAGATAACATCTCTTAAAAGGTGTATACATTTTTTGGCACCCCCAATATACGTACTGTATAATATATATATATATATATATATATTCTTCTTTTTGTTTTTTAATGCCAGGTGTGATGACTCACACTTGTGATCCTAGCACTTTGGGAGGCCATGCACCACGGCTAATTTTTCTGTTTTTTGTAGTGACCGGATCTCACTATGTTGCTCAGCCTGGTCTCGAATGACCAGCTCAAGTGATCTTCCCACGTCAGCCACCCAAAGTGTGAGACACCTGGCTTGGCAGGAGTTTATTTGGTATTGGCTTATTTCTTCCTAAGACTAGCTCATTAGAAGAGGAAGCTAATTTTTTTTTAAATGATACAAAATTTGTAACACTAGAAATTCAAAACTTCAAAGTTGTTACATATGCTTTCTCATCACAGTACTCCCTATTGGTGACATTTATTTTCTCCTTTCATTGTAAAAAAATAAAAAATTTATTTTACAATGTTTGTAGCATATAAATCCAAATTTTAAATGACAAGAATATCAGCATGGCCCCACATTTTGGTTTCAAGTAAGTTGAAGGATATTCATTGCAACATTATTTACAATAACCAAAGACTGGAGACAAATGTCTATCCACAAGGCACCAATTAAATACATTATGTTACATCCATATGATGTAATGCTATGCCATTAATAAAAAGGCTACTTTATATGTACCAATACGGAATAATCACCAAGATGTATTAAGATGAAGAACATTATATGTAATATGTTACCATTTGAATATGTATACCTACATATACTTGAACATACATAGACAATTTCTGGGAGGATTAAAAATAAAATGCTCACAGTGGAGGCTTTACAAGGGGGAAGACATTGGTAACTTTGGTGAAAAAAAGATTTTTCACAATATATACTTTTTTGTACTGTTTGAAATATGTATCACAAGCATGTATTTCTTACTTAAATAAACTTTAAAGTAACAGGTGTTAAAGAAATATTATATATATAGCTCTACAAATATTTATTGAGAAGCAAATATGTACAAGGTATACTACGTATTAAAAGATCATTACTAGCTTTAAGAGTGGTCTTATCAGAGTTGTGGACATGTGGACAGGGGTCTCTAGGAGATAACTGTCTAATTCCTGAGGCAGAGGCAGATGTATATTCAAAGAAATCATGACTGGAAAATTTCTCCCTATAATAACTATAAATTCACAGGTCCACTAAGCTCAATATATCCCTAGCAGGATAAAACACAGTGAAAACCTCACAAGGCACATCATAATCAAACTGCTGAAAATCAAAGATAAAAAGAAAAGCTTAAAAGCATCTAAATAAAAACACACTATATAAAGAGGAACAAAGATAAGAATTACAGCAGACTTCTTGTCCCAACTATTCAAGTCAGAAGACATTGAAACAGCATTTTTAAATTGCTGAAAGAATAAAACTGTCCATCCAGAATTCAGTCCTTTAAAATAGAGGTGAAGAAAGCTGGGTGCCGTGGTGCACTCCTGTAGCCCCAGCTACTCGGGAGGCTGAGGTGGGAGGATTGTTTGAGTCCAAGAGTTTGAGTCCAACCTGGGCAGTGGAGCAAGATCCTCATAAGCAAGTAAAGCATTTTTCAGAGCCAGGCTCGGTGGCTCAGCCTATAATCCCATGGTTTGGGAGGCTGAGGTGAGTGAATTGCCTGAGCCCACGGATTCGAGACCCGTCTGGGCAACTTGGCGAGACCTCATCTCTACAATAAATCAAAAATTAGCCGGGCATGGTAGCACGCACCTGTACTTGGAAGGCTGAGGCAGAAGGATTGCCGAACCCCAACAGGTTGAGGCTGCGGTGGCCGGGAGTGGCCACTGCACTCCAGTCTGAGTGACAGAGTGAGAGTCCAACTCAAAAAAAAAAAAAAAGAACTTTCCAGAAAAACGAAAGCTGAGAAAAATTGTTTCCAGTAGGCCAAAACTACAAAAAAAAAATAAAAATTTAGAAAAGTTCTTCACGAAGAAGGAAGAGAATGCCAGATGACAACTTGGATTTATATCAACACAAAGAATAAGAGCACCATTCTTTTTTTTCCCCTCGCTCTTTTCTCTTGACAATGTATTTCAGACCCTTTGAAAAAGATATGCTTTGCATACAATATGCAAAAAGTTTTCTCTTTAGTCTCCAGTGAACAACGTTGAACATGTAGCATTGGTGAGACATTAAAAGAAAAAAAACCTCTTTGTAATTTTAAGCCATTGATATTTTGAGACTGTTTATTACCTCAGCATAATCTAGTTAATCCTGATTGGTAGCAAGAATCAATTCTTAAGTAGAATTGCTGTGTCAAAGGGTATGTTGATGATAGATACTACCATGATGCCCTTCATAACAGATTTACCAATTTCCATTTCCACTAACAATGTTTGAGAGTTTGTGTTTCTCCTAGAGTCACCATCTCAGTATGACATCAAGCTTTTGAACTCATTCCAGGTTGAAAGGTAAAAAAACAAACAAAACAAACAACCCCCCCATGATATCTCAATGTAATTTTAATTAAGAATATTTTCACTTGTTCTTTATTTCTTCTATGAATTTTTAGTTCATAACATTTGCCAATTTTTGATTGGGTTATTGGTTTTTTCTTATCTATTTTACAGGCAATCTTTTTTTATGTTGGAAAGATCAGTCTTTTGTCTGTGATATGAGATAGCATTTTTTCCTATTTTTCATTTGTCTTTACATATATTTACAGTGTTTTTGCCTTATGGAATTTTTAGTAGTTAAATTTATCAATGTTTTCCTTTATGGCCTCTGGATTTTTGTATTATATTTTGAAAGAGTCTCCCCATTCTAAGATTATACAATAATTTCCCCATGTTTTCTTGAACTACTTTTATGGTTGATATCTTTCTATTTAAGTCTTTAATCCATCTAGACTTTTTTTTCTGGTGTGTAACATAAAGTCTAGAACCAGTATGTTTGTCTGTATTTCTCCAGTTGGCTGTCAATTGTCCAACATCTTTCACTCTATAGTATATTATATCTTTTATCCTGATTTGAGATTCATGCATTCAACAAATATTTACTGAACATCTACTAAATGGTAAACACTATCCTACATGCTTGG